TGAGGTCCCCACTCTGGCCGACTTCGCAGCCTTCCTTCAGGACCGTTTCGGCACTCGTCATGACGCCACCGACGCCTTAGACTGCGTCACCCAGAATAGATGGTCCGGGTCCTCTGTACCGGCCGACCTGGAACGTCACATCCGGGTGTTTCAAGACGCTCGCCTTGTTTGTGACGAGACGTTCCTACCGGAGGTCACACTCACCGACCGGTTCCTTGTCAGCCTGCCGACTGACTATCGCCTAGAGCTATGGAGGCGATCATTCTCTTCCGCGGAGCACGCATACGAGGCTGCGGGTCAGTACCAGAGGATGTGCAGTCGCTTCTCCGTCGCCCCATCCTCTTCGCGGCCAGCCGCCACCTCTCTGTCTCGGGGTACCACCCGAGGTCGCTCCTCGTTTGCTGGTCGTTTTCGTCGCCCGACCCGCCCTGGAGCGTCATTCTCTCAGCGCTACAGTTCTTTGGAGTACGGCGAGGACGCCTCGGCCGAGTTTGACCCTACCCTTGGGGACGCCCCCGAGGACATCGAGCTACGAGACGACATCCAGTATCACTTGGATGACGACACTGTTCCGGTGGCCGAGCGCTTGCTGATGGCCATGTCTGCCATGGGTCGTGCTCGTAGTCGGGTTGCACAGGCTGGCGCCCGCACACCCACGGTTCCTCTGATAGACCTCCCGCAGGGTTATGTCCCTCCTCGCGGAGCTCTATCCCCTGAGGAGCGTGCCGCCCTCGAGGCCCGGCGCCGCTGCCTTCGTTGCCGCCTAGATGGGCACACCTCCTCACGGTGTCTATACCATACCGCCCACGATCGGCACTACGCTGACATCTCTCGTCAGCGTCGATCTCAGTCCCCCCCCGGCCCCGCCCGGCCAGCCCCATCCACCTAGGCACGGTGCACTGTGCCCCTCAGGCCTCGCATGTAGCCGGCTTTCCGACCACCGAGTCGTGGTTTGCCCCCTTGGCTACCCCACCAGAGGACCCTCAGGACACGATAGATGAAGTTCTCTCCGCCCAATTGTCTATCGAGGTACCGTCTGCCTCCCAGCAGACTGCCACGTCTAGCGCTTCTCGCTTGAGACTTCCGACGCGTCGCGCCATTCGCACAGCCCGTTGTGGCGCTCAGCTGGCGACTCGCGATGACGTTGTGTCATCTCTCCTGGACTTTAGCATTCTGCAGGCTCGTCAGGAGCGCCTCACGAGACACATTAATGTCCTGCGTCGTCTTCTCGCCTTGATGTCTGACCCTGATCGCACCCTACCCATCATCCCTATTTGCCTAGGGACATCTACGAGGGTGTACCGCGCGTTATGGGACTCTGGCTCGCAGGGAGATTTCGTTCACCCTCGAGTGGTTGAGGAAGCTCGCCTAGCTACCTCTGGGTCTCGCTCTCCTATCTCCGTTACCCTCGGAGATAACAAGACGCAGCCCTTCTTCGATCAGACGGTCCCCAACCTCCACTTCTCCCTCACCCTCCAGCCACCGGATAGTACCCAGGCGCCTCGGCGCTACCATTCCTCCGCCTACTTCGACGTGCTGGAGACTGGGTACGACTTTATCTTTGGCACTCCCTGGTCTCGCCGGTTCCGTAGCACAGAGGCCGATTCGGCGTTTGAGACACTCATTCTCAAAACGAAGTGTGGTCAAACCCATCGAGTCCCCTTCATTAGAACCACGGGCGACACCCCTCCAAACCTACCTCCCCAAGACCCTCGTCCTTCAGGGTCCCACCCAGACATCTCCTTCACTTCTCCCCGTTAGTTTGCTCACTTCATCCGACAGGAGGACGTCACGCTCTACTCAGTGAACGTCATGGATCTTCTTCGCTACGATCCACTCTGTCCCGAGGTTGAGCTCATCTCACTGGAGCCCGATCCCCCTGACCCTTCCTCCATCTTCGCGGCTCCCATCTCTACATCCACCCCGCAGCCTGCGGATACCCCCTCGACATCCCAGGTTCCTACGCTGTCCACTGCCGAGTCCACCCATACGTCTCATGCCGACGCAAACGTTGAGGAACTCATGCGGTTCACGGCTGACTTAGAGCCCGTCATTCGCGACCTGATTCGGGAGTACCGCGACGTCTTCCCCCCGTATTTCTCATACAGAGGGATTCCCCCGATGCGCGGTGTCGAGCATTCCATCCTGCTCGTGCCTGACTATCGTGTTCACCATCAGGCACCATACCGACTCTCGATTCCGGAGGCTACGGAACTCAAGCGTCATCTTGAGGAGCTCCTTCGACTTGGTTTCATTAAACCTAGTAACTCCTCTTGGGGTGCACCTGTCCTCTTTGCTCGCAAAGCGGACGAAACTCTCCGCCTCTGCATCGATTATCGCGGCCTTAACCGTTATACGGTTAAGAACAGCTATCCCATGCCCCGCGCGGATGAGCTGTTTGACCGTCTGGCAGGCAACCGCTTCTTCACGAAGATCAATCTTCATAGCGGTTACCACCAGATCCGCGTTGCCGCAGAGGACCAGCCGAAGAGCGCCTTTCGGTCGCGCTTCGGCCACTACGAGTTCATGGTGATTCCATTCAGCCTCACCAATGCACCCGCCACCTTCCAGACGGCGATGAACGACATCTTCAGGGACATCCTTGAAGAATACGTTCTCGTATACCTGGACGACATCCTGGTCTACAGTCGTACCTTAGAAGATCATATCAGACACCTCCGCGATGTCCTACAACGCTTACGCAAGCATGGCTTCTATGCCAAGCTCAATAAGTGTTGCTTTGCCCAGCGCAAAGTGGACTTCCTAGGACACCATGTGTCTGACCAGGGTCTCCACATGGACGACGCGAAGATCACTGCTATTGCAGAGTGCCATCAAGGGTGAAACGAACCGCGTCACCGTTACCTTGTCCCGCCGTCCTGATCACATTCAGGAACCCATCCATCTTGCTGCCATCTCCATCACCACTGTTGATCGGTCGGTGATCGACGCGTATCGCACTCAGTACCGCCACTGCCCCGATTATCGCGTCATCCACGCAACACTGCGGAGTGGCAAGACCGTTCCTTCCTACTCCCTCAGGGAGAACGGCCTCGTGTACTGGCATGGCAGATCTGGTCAGCTAGAACCACGTATCTGCGTTCCCTCCACCGGACAGCTCCGCGTCCAGGCTCTAGCAGAGTTCCATGACCAAGTAACTGCCGGTCATATGGGTTTCCACAAGACGTTGACTCGTGTTTGCCGCCTATACGTCTGGCCGAAGTCCAAGGACTTTGTCAAAGCCTACATCCAAGAGTGTCCTACCTACCAGGAGGTGAACAGTGCAAACCACCTTCCGTATGGGTTACTTCAGCCCCTACCCATACCTGAAGGTCGTTGGCAGTCTATCTCGATGGATTTCATTGTTCCCCTCCGCCCACCCACTCAGCGCGGTCATGATGCTATCTTGGTCGTCGTCGATCGCTTCACGAAGCGTGCATGTTTTGTTCTGTGCCGCTATCGCATTAGCGCTCGTGAGGTCGCCGACATCGTCTTCAACCGAGTCGTGAGAGATCACGGCTTACCTCAGAGCATCATCTCCGACCGTGACCCGCGCTTTACCAGCACATTCTGGCGACGCCTACACGAGGTGTACGGATCCCAGCTCCGCTTCTCATCGTCTTACCACCCTCAGACGGATGGTCAGACTGAGGTCACCACCAAAACTCTCGGTGATATCCTCCGAAAGTTTGTTAGGGATGACTAGCAGTGGGACTTACACTTAACCCACGCGGAGATTGCGTACAACCACGTTGTTTCGCCAGCCACGGGGATGTCGCCATTCTATTGCGGCCTCGACTACCACCCTCGCGTACCTGCGGATTTCCTACGACCATCGCGGTTGCGCCCAGACACTCATTGCCCTGCGCTTGACGACTAGATCGCCCATATGGCGGCGATTATGAAGCGCGCACACGAGAGTTTAGCCGACTCCCAGACTCGCATGGCCGCACGAGCGAACCGATCACGAATGGATCATCCATTCAAAGTCGGTGACGATGTGCTCGTCGACGCACGCCACTTACAGCTCGAAGCAGATATGCTTCGCAAGTTCAGGCGTTGTTTCTTCGGTCCATGCCGCACCTTTCAGGCCGTCGGCTCTGATACTGCCGCTAGTCCGATCAGCTTCCTTGTGAAGCTACCTGATTACCTTCGACAGGCTCGCGTACACGATGTTTACCACGTCTCCTTGCTGCGTCCTTATCGYAGACCGTCCGAGCGCTTCGCCRGACGCYCTTATGAGCGCCCTCCACCTATCATGGTGGACGGTCACGAGGAGTTCGTTGTTTCCGACATCGTATCACGCCGAGTTACYGACGATACCCCTCCACGCATCGAGTACCTTRTGCGTTGGAAGGGCTACCCTGATGAGGAGGCTACTTGGGAGCCCCTCGAGCACTTGCAGCACGCCAGGATGTTGGTGCGTGCATATGATCGTGCTCGTCGTGCTGGGACATCTGCTTCTACTCAGTCGACTGACCCTCTTCCTCCTCCTCCGGCTGAGGAGATCGCTGAGCATGAGCCCGCTCCCTCTGAGGCCGTTCCTCAGCCGCATATGGTCGCCTCCGAGCGTCCACAGCGCACTCATCGTCGCCCTTCACATTACGATGACTGACACTCTTATCCTCCATCTTTCCCCACTGACTCACACCATCAGGTACTCCATCATCAACTCTTCTTCAGGATGTCAGCGTTTTGCGGCTCTGCTTCGACATCGACTCGACTGCTACTTCATCGACGTCATCGACCGATTCGACGACTTCTGCTACCTTATCGGCTTCAGCTACTTTGGACGTGACTACTTCACGCCACCACCCTACCCTGTACATTCCCTTGCATCTGTCGCATGATGGTTCTCACTTAGCTGGGTCTCTTTGAGTTGGGCTCTCCCTTGGTATCGCATAGGCATTGAGACCGTAGCGTTATCTTGGCTTCCCTGCTCCCAGATCTAGCTCCTTCCTCCCCCAGTTGGTGAGTTGTGTGCATGTTTCCCTCACCCACTTCCCTCATCACCCTAGTGCCGGCCCTTGCATGCCTTCAGTTAGGCATATCCCACCCTATTCCAGGCTCCCCCTTTTCATGGTCGACCCTGCATGGTGTCACCCTTCTCGAGCATTGCCCGCCTTGATGGTCTATCTGTTAGGGTCATTGGTTTTGTTTCGCTACCACTCTCCCACCTTGAGCCGGATGACCTATCCCACCTTCATGTGTGACTGCGCTTAGGAGTTTCGATTCTTAGGCTGCATTCACCCCCTCTGAGACCATCCCACTTTTAGTGGTTCAGCGACATGACATTATCTTGTGACATATTGCTCTTCTCCTTTCAGCACTTAGGCCACTGCCTCCAGGACTTTAGGAGTGTATCATACTACATTTCATTTTCTGTTGTTAGCTAGGATACGTATACCAGACATTTGCTTTTCTTTTGACATTATATAGCTTAGGATGCATCGCATGGACTCTGCATGGAGCTTGCTCTGCATCCTAGATTTCTCAGCTTTCTTTATTGCAGAGTTCCGCTGCTTTTGCGGATAGCGTGTTTATGGCTTTTGCGATCCATTACAGGTCTGAGGATCGTGCAGCGGACCTTCATCTGCCCTGGCCCACAACCAGGGCCTATTTGGCTATTTTTCACTCCGCCCTTTGGGACCAGGCCGTGGCCTGACCCCACAGGCCGTGCGGTTATTCAGTCCAGTCCAGTCCTGCCTGGTACCACTGTCGGTACCAGGCCAGTCCTGTCCAGTCCAGTCAGTCCGCTGGGGATATACCCCAGCTGCAGTCTGTTTTGTGGCATTCTTCATTTGCACAGATTGGAGTACGTGCGTGTTGAGTCTGCAATGGAGCTGCGCTGTCCCTTCCAGCTTCATCTCCATCTCCCCCATCCTCATCCCTTCGTCTTGATCCTGACGGACCGCCATCCCGGCGGGTCCATTACAGACCAGGTGTCTCCCAACTCTCTCTCTCTCTCTCTCTCTCTCTCTCTCTCTCTCTCTCTCTCTCTCTCTCTCTCTCTCTCTCTCTGTGTCTCTCTCTCTCTGTGTGTGTGTGTGTGTGTCTCTCTCTCTCTCTCTCTTCCTCTCTCTCTCTCTTCTGCAGAAATCGAGCGAGTGAGAAAGAGAGAGAGAGAGCAAGCGAGCGAGCGAGCGAGCGAAAGGGAGAGGGACTGAGTGAGCAACCGACATGGCGTAAAAGTGATCGAGCAGGGGCGCGCGAGAGGGAGACAAAGCGATCAAGCGGGAACGTGTGGTAGCGAGCGACAGAGAGCGAGCCCGAGCACGAGGTATTGAATGAGAGAGAGCGAGTGATAGACAACGAGTGAGGAACAGGGAGAGAGAGAGAGAGAGAGAGAGAGAGAGAGAGAGAGAGAGAGAGAGAGAGAGAGAGAGAGAGAGAGAGAGAGAGAGAGAGAGAGAGAGAGAGAGAGAGAGAGAGAGAGAGAGAGAGAGAGAGAGAGAGAGAGAGAGAGAGAGAGAGAGAGAGAGAGAGAGAGAGAGAGAGAGAGAGAGAGAGAGAGGAGAACGACCACGAGAAGAGACTCTGCAAGCGCGAAGGAGGGAAGTTTGCGAGGAGTATGAACTGTGAAGGAAGAAGAGAAGCAGGCGGAGGAGAGGTAAGGGTCCCCTATAGGATTATACATCTCTCTTGAGTCTCTTTCTTTTTTTAAATTATTATTTTTTTCCCTTTCTTTCTCAGCTTCAACTTTATTTCCTCTTTTTCTTTTTCCTTTTTTGTTTCTTTATTAAGTTTATTTCTTTTTTTTTCTTTTTTTTTCTTTCTTTGTCAAGTTGTCTAAAAGGGAGGGGAACAGGTTGGGGGAAGGTTGGGAAGAGAGTGGGGGGGAAGATCGGGGAGAGAGGCGGGTGAAAGGCTGGGGAGAAAAGCAGGGGGAAAGGCGGAGAGCAGTGAGGCTAGGCAAAGGTGGGTGGAAAGGCCGGTGAGAGGGGGGTGGACAAAAGGGCGTCGGAAGCACGGACGAGGGGTCATCGTTTTCCACAAAAAAACAATCGATTAATCAATCGATCAAGGAAGCACGCAAGCAATTAAGATCCGTCGTTTTTCATGAATCTTGATTGATGGATGGATTGAATGGTTGTATGATTGATTGATCGATTGTTTGATGAATCAACTGATCTATTGATCGGTGTTGAGGAATTGATTGATCGGTTGATTCATTGATATATTATTATTTTTTTTAACGTAGGGGGAAGGCAGGGGCAAATGTAACAGGAGAGGTCAAGTGAAAGGCTGGGAAGCGAAGCGGGGGGAAGGCCGAGGAGAGTGGAGGGGGAAGGGCGGGGGAAAGGCGGAAGATGGGAGGGGTTCTTCTCTCTCTCTCTCTCTTTTTTTCTCTCTCTCTCTCTCTCTCTCTCTCTCTCTCTCTCTCTCGCCCCGCCCTTTCCCCCGCCCTTTCCCCTGCCCTTTCCCCCGACCTCTCTCCCCGACCTTCCCCTTGACCTCTCTCCCTGTCCTTGTCCTCGTCGTCCCCCGTCTTCCCCCAACCTTTCCCCTGACCTCTCTCCTCGGTCTTTGCCCCACGTCCCCCCCACCTTTCCTCCGTCTTTCTCCTTGGCCTCCCCTGCCCTTCTGCTACCTTTCCCTCGTTTTTCCCCCCACCTCTGCCCCCGCCTTTCCCTCAGTCTCTCTCCCCTTT